CGTCTGAACATCCTTTCTGGGAATGGAGGAAATCTTCTTGACCCACGGAACAGACTGTTGTCCTCCATCACATGTCTGAGCAGCCAGGTTACATGTTTGACCTTTAGGACAGCAGTGAATGAAGTCTTGACAGCAAACAGCCTGAGGATGAGAAGATCAGATGAAAACCATCAACATCAAACTCATACTCTTATAGCAGTCCTCCTCCAATGAGAGAGTCGGAGGTTTGAGTCCACTAGTTTTAGGCCATGTGTTCAAGTGTCGCTGACGCCCTTATTGTCTCTAAATCTTGCCCCATAATAGTATGAATGTGATCTAAAGCACTAATTAGACTTTGTAACAATTTATTCACATTAGTTTTGTAGAGTTCTGTGTGGACAGATAAATAAGGGCTCTGAGTGGTGTTGTAAAGATCTTTGAGTATCCTGGTTAACTACAACAGGGACCTTKACACGTGACGTCATGGATATCATTTACGCCAGGGCTATTCAACTGGCGGTCTGCGAGTGATCAAAGTTCGGCCCAGCAATTGGTTCTGTTTTCTGCCTCTTATCCAAGATCGGGTTGCGGGGGCAGCAGCCTAAGCAGAGAGACCCAGACTTCCCTCTTCCCAGCCACTTGGTCCAGCTTGTCTGTGGGAATCCCAAAGCGTTCTCCAGGCCAGCAGAGAAACATAGTCCCTCCAGCGTGTCTTCGATCTTCCTCTGTGTCTCCTCCCAGTGGGACATGCCACATGCCCGGAACTCCTCACCAGGGAGGTGTCCAGGAGGCCTCCTAACCAAATGCCAGAGCCACATGAACTGGCTCCTCTCGACATGGAGGAGCAGAGGCTCTACTCTGAGTCCCTCCCGGATTACCAAGCTTCTCATCCTATTTCTAAGGAAGAACCCAGACACCCTGCTAAGGAAACTCATTTCGGCCACTTGTATCCGTGAACTCGTTCTTTCGGTCACTACCCCAACTTTGGGACCATAGATAAGGGTAGGAATGTAGACCGATCGGGAAACTGAGAGCTTCGCCTTCTGGCTCAGCTCCCACTTCACCACGACAGACCGGTACAGCGCTCGCATTACTGCAGACGCAGCACCAATCCGCCTGTCGATCTCCCGATACATTCTTCCCTCATTCGTGAACAAGACCCCGAGATACTTWAACTCATGCAATTGGGGCAGGACCTCCTCCCCGACCCGGAGGCAGCACGCTACCAGTTTCCGGCTCAAGACCATGGTCTCAGATTTGGAGGCACTGATCCTCATCCTAGCCGCTTCACACTTGGCTGCGAACCGCTCCAGTGAGAGCTGGAAATCACAATCTGATGAAGCCAATAGGACCACATCATCTGCAAAAAGCAGAGATGTGATCTTAAAGTCATCAAAAAGGATCCCCTCAACACCTTGGCTGCACCTTGAAATTCTGTCCATAAAAGTTATGAACAGAATCTGTGTCAAAGTGCAACKTTGGCAGAGTCCAACTCTCAACCAGAAACAAGTCCAACTTAATACCTGCAATGCAGACCAAACTCTTGCACCGGTCATACAGGGACCTAACAGCCTGTTTCAATGGGAATGGTACCCCATACTCCCGGGATACCCCCCACAGGAGTCATCAAGTGACAGGGTCGAACGCCTTCTCCAAGTCCACAAAACACATGTAGACTGGTTGGGGGAACTCCCATGCACCCTCCAGGACCCTGCTGAGGGTMTGGAGCTGGTCCACTGTTCCACAACCAGGACGAAAACCACACTCCTTTTCCTGAATCCGAGATTCGACTATTCGACAGACCCTCCTCTCTAGAACCCACTAATAGACCTTACCAGGGAGGCTCAGAAGTGTAATCCACCTATAGTTGGAACACACTCTGCGGCCACCCCATTTTAAATAGGAGGACCACCACCCCGGTCTGCCAATCCAGTGGAACTACCCCAGATGTCCACACAATGTTGTAGAGTCGCGTCAACCAATGCAACCCCACAACGTCCAGAGCCTTAAGGAAATCCAGGCGAATCTCATACACCCCCGGCGCCTTGCCACCGAGAAGCTTTTTTAATCACCTCAGTGACCTCGGCACCAGAGATTGGAGAGTCCGACCCAGGGTCCTCAGGACCCCCGGTTTTCCACTTAAATTACTCTAAGTTCTTAGCTAGACATAGACGTCTGGTATCTACAGAAATGTCAGAATCTTGGCTACAAGCTGGTAAAAACCATTTCTATGAACATCCAAGACAGTTAGGCAGTTGACGATAAAACTATGAAAGTGAAAATAAAATTGGTTTAAAAATTTAGCAAGTCAGAGAAGTTTAAAATAATATTTGTGTCAAATATGAAGCATAGTGTGTTTTATTTTTGTTGTTGTTTAGTTATCACTACTTTATATGGTTCTGTATGTTGTATGCATGATTAAGTGCAGCAAAATAAACTATTTCAAAGGTAACAGATCTTTGTAATACTTGGTTTATTTACATAATGACTTAATTGCTGGATGTTGGGACCCTCAACTGTTGGCCTGCAGTAACTGTGGCCCCGGGAGCACTTTAGTCGAATAGCCCTGATTTACAGACATTATTAACGCTCTCTCAAATGGTCGGACAACTGGAGTGGATTCTTCTGTGAGTCAGTGTTAATACCATAACAGAAAAAAGATGTTTCTAGAGAAAATTTCGAATGACAGGAAAGTTCAGTTGAAATGTTGGCTGGAGGTACTAGGTCTTTGGCAGACTAGGAATGCAAGTGGAATTATTAAAAATGTTGGCGTTTTTACCAATGTTTTATACCTTAGCATGTCGCATCTATCGCGTGAGTGTCTGTGTGTGTGTCTGTGTGTGTTTGTGTGTGTGTCTATAAGTTAACTCAATTTACAATACAATTAATCCCATCGTTTTACACAAAAATATCAAAAGAAGCTGCATCCACTATGTTACCTCTGGCAGAGGACAACAAGCCCAAGAACCCTCTTTGGTTTTACAGCAGGTGGTGCCATCAGGACAGCCCACTTTGTCATCACACGGGACAACCTTCACCTCCATCTGAACATCTTTTCTGGGAATGGAGGAAATCTTCTTAACCCAGGGAACAGACTGTTGTCCTCCCTCACATGTCTGAGCGGCCAGGTTACATGTTTGACCTTTAGGACAGCAATGGATGAAGTCTTGACAGCAAACAGCCTGATGATGAGAAGATCAGATGAAAACGAACAACATCTAACTTTTGCTCTTATAGCAGTCCTCCAACGAGAGTCGGAGGTTTGATTCCACTACTATGCTGTCACATGTTCAAGTGTCCCTGAGTAAAACACTGAAGACTTTATTGTCTCTAAACCTTACACCATTATAGTATGAATGTGATCTAAAGCACTGATTAGACTCTGTAGAATAATTTATTCACATTAGTTTTGTAGAGTTCTGAGTGGATGGCTAAATAAGGGCTTAGATTATGTTATGAATTGATTTGAGTACCAATGCTGGCTGCAATTGCTACTATACAAGTAAAGTCAATTTACCATGTATTAAGTGCATCATTTTACCCGAATATATCAAAATAAGCTGTATCCATTATGTTACCTCTGGCAGAGGACAACAAGCCCAAGAAC